ACTGAAAATGAAGATTTACTGTTAGATAGTGTAAGACTAGAAGATAGGGCAACTCTCTGAGAGAACAAAGGAAATTAACATTTGAACTCACTCTTGTGAAGTTAGCATCACCATTCGAGATGCAAGTCTCACCTCAGAATCATCCTAATCTACATCTCTTTCCCTCTTCCCCCACTCCTTCTCTCTCATGCTGAGATCACCAAAATTCACCCAAAAATATATATGGTTTAATGTGAATAATTATCATACAGTATTATACATGTTATTTGAAATGTCTCAGTGTGACTGGTACAAAGGTCTCATCCCCAAAGAAGTAAACCAAAAGGTAATAAAGTTTTTAAGCGTTTTAAGATAACTTGCTTACAGAGGAGGGTGTGGGTCCTCCAGGCACATGGCATCCGGCCCTCAAAAGGTGTAAACTCTGAATGCAAAATCCCATTGTTAGCAAATGTTTCCACGTGAAAGAAGTTTCTGTCTTGGTCTGGGTATATAAAGAAATGCAACAAGAGTCTCAGGGCGATTTGTAATGAGATTGGCCCATTATGCTGAGTTATTGTTTGGGCTTTAACTAAGTTGTTACATTGGGCGACTGTAGGGGGCTACATGGGTACTTTTTAAAGGTGCAGTGTGTAGATTTTAGCGGCATCTAGCGGTTCGGTTGCGAGTTGCACTAATGGCTCAGCCCACTGCTCACCCCTCCCTTTCGAAGAAGCTACGGTGGCTAAAACGGGACAAACATGTCGTCGTCTGAGACAGCAGAGAATAGCCAGAGTAAGCCAAGAGTGTGTAACATTGCCACTGTTTCTGTACCACAGTCCATTATAAACCACATCATGGATAAAGTTTACAAAGCCATAGTCAGGTGAGGATCAAGGGTCTTAATATATAATATAATAATAGTAATCAGCTGATTGTCTCACGAACGTAACCAGCACATTTCTCCCCACATAGCAAACCCATAATACAGCGAGGGAGAAGAACCACATGAAACTATCCAACTACATATTTTTTCTAACAGGGTAGTAAAAGTTTAGCTGGCTAATATGAGCTGTTATTCTGTAGGGCTGTGGCTGAGCTGGTTAAAGCGTAAAGCATTGTTTATACTCGACGCGTCCGCATGAGCGCAAAGGTGCGCGCGGCAAAAATTACGTGATTGTAACAGTGCGCGCGCCTCAGCATCCCCTAGATACCATTTACTACATACAAATTAATAAATAATAATGTATAAAAATGTTGTTTTTTTCTCTGGCTTTGAAAACTCTTCGCGATCGACTTAAAATGCTTCCAAGATCGACTTGTCGACCGCGATCGACGGGTTGGTGACTCCTGTAACTTTACTGTTTTATGGTCAATATCACTAATCAGCTGATTGTCAAAGCCATAACACAGCGAGGGAGAAGAACTAAGTTACATGAAACAATCCAACTACATATTTTACACCACTGACAAAGGAAAAAAGTCACTACTCACGGTGTCTATGGCTAGCTTCTAGCTTTCTGCGGCTTCTCTTTCAAGGTATGAACGAAACACGCTCTGTAGCGCTGTTTGTTCGCTGTCGGCTACGGTAGAAACATGACGTCACAATATGTCAACCTTCATAGAAGGGGGTGCCCGCGGTTATGTAGATATAAATGTCTCGTTAAGGTAATAAAAACATAACGGTTCATTGATTAAAGGAGAACTCCGGCGCAAAATGAACCTTTGGTCTAATTACACATAACCTAGTCAACCGTTCCCTGAGATTTGTTTTCATGATTATCGAATGTAAATAGTTTTATCTCTAAAAACAGTTTAGCCTATAAAGCTAGTATAACGGTAGTATATTGGGCATAGATCAATGACAAATAAAAATCGCTTGTTAATACCACTAACAAGGCTCAAAATAGCCCCACACTAACGCGGTAGCATAATGAGGGTCCCTACCTTCAAACCGAAGCATTGAGAACTTTGTAAGTGTACAGACAGTTTTTTACATACAGTCAACTTCGCGTATACAGACAGGAGCCATCTTTGAAAAAGAGTCTCTACCAGTCAATCTACGAACGCCGATCCAAGCCTGCTGTTCGCGCTCACCTTATCACAACTTATAGCTCGTTCACATCTCACCAGCGCACTTGGATCGGCGTTCGTAGATCGACTGGTAGAGACTGTTTTTCAAAGATGGCTCCTGTCTGTATACGCGAAGTTGACTGTATGTAAAAAATATCTTCTTATTAAACTGTCTGTACACTTACAAAGTTCTCAATGCTTCGGTTTGAAGGTAGGGACCCTCATTATGCTACCGCGTTAGTGTGGGGCTATTTTGAGCCTTGTTAGTGGTATTAACAAGCGATTTTTATTTGTCATTGATCTATGCCCAATATACTACCGTTATACTAGCTTTATAGGCTAAACTGTTTTTAGAGATAAAACTATTTACATTCGATAATCATGAAAACAAATCTCAGGGAACGGTTGACTAGGTAACAATGCATAATAGGACCAAAGGTTCATTTTGCGCCGGAGTTCTCCTTTAAGGTCTTTATACACCACTGAACACATAGTTATGGATCTTATATTGCATTTCTGTCAATAGATCCTCAGAAATATTACACATTCCACCTTTAACTAGCATGTGCAGCGGCATTGTTAAACTGCTTTATACAACCTCTGGTTATCGATCAGACTGGCGAGTTTGTGATCGTGAGATCCACGTAAAAAAGAATGGCCAGTGCGAAACTCTCTGAGCGACATAAATTCCTAATGAATGAATAAAATATAAAGTAAAGAGTTAAATAGAACAATCAAATGTATTGCTAACTGTTATATAAATGACCAATAACCAATTGGCAATCTAACCTAAATTCGAGGTCGTTATAAAATGGTGTCAGATAAAAGCTGAAATGGAATTAAATTACTTTGCCACGCAGAAAGACAGTAACACACAGACAGAGACCTTCACCTGCTTATCGGAAACTGTCGTTGGACCGATTGGGCAGGCCTTACAATAGCAAAAAACAGCATATATGCCTAGCAAAATTCATTATTAACAGTGCAACTGATGAGATTAAAATGAATTAAAATACCAATCATTAATTGCACACTAAAAACAAAAGCAATGTAGATACATCTGATTGGTGTGTTGTGGTTAAAAAGGGCATTTTTATGTTTTAAGCAGATTAAATCAGTAGAGGGCACTATATCACTTTTTAAATGGATCTTTATGGAATTATTTCATAAAGGTCAATTAAACATATTTGCATGATATGGGAGGTGAGGGGCTTTAAATGCACTAAACTAAAAGCATGACACCTACTGCATGACATTCACATGCATGTTTATACCTCCATTCATTAGGTTGGGATAATAAAGCTCAGAGTGACCTTTATAGGATATTTTGTCAGTTCCATCCAAATGTTTCAAAAGATCTATAGCAATGAACAGAAGTACTGAGCACTGTTGTATCACTGCTATGAGTAATAAGGTGGGAGAACATTTTTTGCCTAATCTTGCTCATGTGAATATTGCTGACTTGGACTTTCTAAAGTCGCATGCTTCTGTAATCCACAAAGAGCCATAAATATCAAAGCAGCACATGCTGAGTATATGAGTAGGCTACTGTAAGAGATGAAAAGGACGTTTTTTAAAGTCCAAGCACACATGAACCCTTTACTGTAGCCCTAGTTGTAGGCCAGCAGTTGACACTGGTTTACAGAGGGATTTTAAAGAACAGCCTGCCTTTGTCACTCAACATAAACCCATGTCACATGACTGCATGAAGGGAACCAGGGATAAAGGGAGACTCACTCACATGATAGTCAAGACTGTTTAATTTTCTCTCAGCTACTCTCACCAGAGCAGTCAAAGAACTGTCAACTCCCAGAACGTTCCCTGCAGGTTATTTTTTGGATTTGTTTTTATAATCTAAAGAGAACGTTCTATTAACGTAAAGAAAACTTTCCTAGCTGGGAACGTTAGAATGTTTGTTCTGGGAACCTGAAAGTAACGTTCTGGGAACCAAAAATTGTTAACTGGGTAGCCTATCACGACGTAGAACCCATGTAGAACGATTTCAAAAGTAATCTATGGTGTCATTGTGGTTGCTCGTCTCTTACATAATCACCCGATATCTACACTATAAAGAATTTAAAACAAAAACACGTTATGCAAGTTACGATCCGATCCCGAGCGTCTAGCTGCTTTTTATGTTGTCAGCAGACAGTTAATTTGTGTTTATATTTTCCACTCAAACAACCAGCTGCATCCTGAGGCTGTCGTGCATCACTACTGTCTGTGTCTGGGCCTGGGCTCAGTGGGTTCATTGATGTATCTGAACGTTGAAGGAGTCACTCTTTTGAATCGGATCTCTTTTTATGCATCTGTTGAACTGGTTCACAGCTGTCTCCACGATTCACAACTCAAATTGTTCGGACATGCCCGATTCGCAGTATAAACCGAAACTAATCAGATTAAGTAGACAAGAATTATTCAAAGTGAAGTGAACCGAGGATTTGATGAGGCGAAAAACCTACTTTAATAACCGAAATGCAGGAATGCTACAATGAACGACCTAAAAACTACATTGTAGTTTTATCAACATATGAAACAGTTTTGGACGAAAGTATTTCATTAAAACGTGCAAAACCTGTAAAAATATTAATTGGTTTTAGTAGTAGGCCTAAGTAAAGTAAATGGGAATTATAATTATATTGGCTAAATCGTGGATGCAACAAACTGAACTGAAATACAATATTACTAGTCAAAAGTTAAAAGTAGGCTATATAATTATTTATTGTTTTCTTAATAATAAACCGTAAACAAGAAACACTCAACTGCAAAACGACCACGTGTTGGCGTAATCACGTGAAAGAACGTCTGAATCATTTTTGAACCGATTCCTTGAAACAAATTGTTCAAAAGAACCGATTTACGGAATTGAGTCTGACATTCCTTCTCTAGCTGGAATTCGAGTGAGGAAGTGACGCTTTCTCCCACAGTCTTTCCCCATCCGTATCCGCCGGAACACAGAACTTCGCGCAATTGGAGTCTCTTGATGTCAGTCAGCAGCAGCGGCTTTGCCACCACCTCTCCTGATTCCCTTCTCTACTGCACTTGGCGACCATATCGGCCGTCAGGGAAAGAAATACCATCGGGATGAGGAGATCGTAGGCCATGTAAATACAAAGTATAAAATGTTAACGATTTCATCGACACATCGATGTGCTGTTTGCTTTTCGAATATCGCAGTTATGGTCCCAATAGTCTCCCGTCCGTGTGTTTTATCCACCACCGTCTCTAGCCTCGGGAAAATGTACCCGACTATTCTTGGTAGCATTTTTTTCACAAACAAAAGAAGACACCCGAAAAAGCAATAAAAGAGCACGACAGAAGGATCGGTGAGTTCATCTCTCCGTGTGTTGTAAATGCGTATCGATTATTTTATGTTATCGCGCATGTTCGATGGCTTTTTAAGTAGTTTTTTTTTTCCAGTCGGCCCCCTTTTCTAATGTCCGAAGCCGGTTGAACTAAAGCAACCAGGAGGAATGTATATAGACATTTAAAATGACGTACATCGAGTTATTAAGCACAGACTTAGATTAATATAATTCATGATATACAGTAGTTTTAATATCAGGTAAAGTGTAGAGAGGATCATCATGAAGGCATCTAGAAAAATACCGCTATTTCCATGCCTGGATTGACTAATGTTACTATACCTACTTAGACTCGCTGCAATGTTATTGCAAAGGCCTATCATTTTTGTCACGAAGGTTTAATGCATATCAGTGAATACAATATGGACTCTAATTATTTGAATGGGCCTAATGTTAAGCACATAAAAGTATTTAGTTTTATCTGAGGTGTATCCCCATGAAATTACATGACATGTCAAACAATAGAAACGCTTGGCCATTGAGTAAAACCAACCTGAATTCAGTTCTATGGTATGAGTATTAATGTTAATGAGATAAACCTTTGTGTGGTAAAGGTCATTTTTAACACATTTCTTTCATGTACCTATTTGTGCATGTAAATTGTTTAAATTGGACACCAATACACCAAGCATGCATTTTATTACCATCATGACCATTGTCAGAAATTACCTTTGTTTAATGGCAATATATTACCTTTATGGGGCAGCATATTTTATTTCTAACCATGTAAAATGTTCTTCCTTTTTCAAAAAACTTCCAATTGAATCTGTTACAATTATGGCCATTACGTGTGAATCAAGTCATGAAATTAAATATGAAAGAAGCTAAAAACTATCCAGACGAGATATCATAAGACATTAACACTATAATATGCTTATGAGACAGATATATGACAGCTGCAGGTCACTACAGTGTCTGCGGAAAACAAAACCCATACTGAATCTATTAATAGAAACTCCTAGAAAATGTATTATAAAATATGTCAAATGTTAGATAACAGATAAATTTACTATGTCCCCCACATTTTAATATCTGGGATATTTTTGTAACTTCCAGAGACAATTTGCCCTGGCTAATTTCTGAATCTGGTCAGCATGTATGTTCAAATGAGTAAAAAGGGCATTGATCCAAATGTATTTAAGTTGGAAAAGTTTCTCAATATAGGCTTAATGCCTATCTATCCTAAAAAGGGAGTTGTGGGCCATTGTTGCATAAGATACACAGTGGTGTAACCTCAGCTGGCCCATAAAACCTCCTTAAAACTACAATTTTACAAAGGTCTGGTTTCCAAAAAGCGTGGTTTGTGGAGATTGAGGATGCCTGGGAACATTTTCTGTTTCTGCAAACTTCCTGACACAGTGCTGAAGATTGTGGGTTCATTCTGAAAACAAGCGTTTGAAATATTATCTAGTTAGCTCAGGGTATCGCAGATACATTCTCTTGACACGCAAGACAATTAGTCGAGAGTGAGAGACTGCAAACTGCTGCTTGCATATTTCCGTGTGCAGAGGTTAAGGCCTGCCCAGATATTTTAGTTGTCTTGAGCGGGGCTTATACATTGTAACAGACGTTTCCTAGAAAGCTGCTTAACTACACTTAAGTACATCAGTGACACCATGGTCCATAAGGTCTCATTTTTAATATTAATGCATTAGCTAACACAAACTAACAATGAGCAGTATATTTTTTACAGCATTTATTTAATCCTCTTTAATGCTATTAATACAAATTAAATTGTTCCTGTTCATAGTGAATTCCTTAGATTGTTTTTAAATAATTCTGTGAATGTTGAAATTAGCATAAGATAAATAAATGCTGTAACTAGTGTAGATAACTAACAAATGAATTGTAAAGTAACTTCCAGGTGGCTAAGTTATATGAGTCTCAAATATAGTAGTTTTTTTTTATTATATTTTAAATATATTAGGAGATTAAAATGTAAGCTATATTAACTGTTAAAAAGTTTGGGGGATCTGTAAGATTTTCTTTAAGTTTTAAAGTCTCTTCAAGTCTGTTCACCTAGGCTGCATTTATTTGATCAAAAATACAGTAAAACTGTAATATTGCGAAATATTTAGGGCTGTCAAATGATTAATCGTGATTAATCACATCCAAAATAAAAGTTTTTTTTACATAATATATGTGGGTGCACTGTGTATAATCATTTTATATATATAAATACACACACATGCTTGTATATATTTAAGAAATATTTTCATGTATATACTGTATATAGATTTATATATAATTTATATTATATATAAATATAAATATTTTATATATAAATACATTTTTTTTCTTAAATATACATGCATGTGTGTGTATTTATATATATACAAAATAATTATACACAGTACACACACATATATTATGTAAAAAAAACTTTTATTTTGGATGTGATTAATCACGATTAATCATTTGACAGCCCTAGAAATATTACAATAAAAAACTGTTCAGAAATCATGCTGATTTTTGGGCTCAAGAAATGTTTCTTATTATCAGTGTTGAAAACAGTTGTGCTGCTTATTTTTTTTTTTGTGGAAATCATGCCACATCTTTTTCAGGGTTGTTTGATGAATAGAAAGTTCAAAAGAACAGCGTTTATTTGAAATGGAAATCTTTTGTAACATTAAAAATGTCTCTTCTGTTGATCTTTTGATTATTTTATTGCATTCTTGCTGAATAACAGTATACGCTGATTTCACGCAGCCGTTATTTTGAAATCGAAAGCGAGGCTCCGGTGGGAAGTAAACCGGAAGTGCCGCCTTTAATCACAGGAGAGTCGCGAATGCGTTGGCGTATTGTTGTGGTTAATGTAGAAATTAGTTATTCTACCGGTAAATATGTACATACATTTCTTTCATACTTTAGACTATATTTTCACTGTATATAGTCTATATACAGTGAAAATCATTTATAAATAATTGTATATATATATATATATATATATATATATATATATAATTCAGAAAGTAAAAAAAGAAGCAGGAACGAACTATATACATATCCTATATTGGATATTAACATCCAATAGTGTAAATCGCGGCAGCAGCTTCAGGTTGGTAGTCCAAGGCATTGTTGTTTATCTGTACCTCCAGGGTTCTTCCCACCGGAGCCTCGCTTTCGATTTCAAAATGGCGGCTGCGTGAAATCAGCGTATTAATAACTTTCCAAAAAATAATCTCAAAGTCCCTAAACTTTTAAACAGTATTTAATGCTGTTAACGTTTGATATTGATACGAAAATGCATGGTATTCCTTTTATCACATGGATCATGATCAATATTATTTATGGTTTTTAGCTTGTATTGTTCCTAGCGGTTTAAACAACTCATGTAGTGTTGAAGCGAAGTGCCACATTTTTCATAGAGCCCCTAAAGTAAAACATACCAGTGCAGTGGCTCTATATCTATCTTATCTATTGTGCAAGGAAGAACAATCCACTCTGTCTGTCTGCCATCCAGGTCGTGGATGTTATCATAAACTCTCAGTAGGACTTATACACTTAATGTACTACTCGAATTTTACTTGTATTTAAATGCATAATATAATGTACTTTAATATAAATGTCTTATTTCATGTGTTTTCTCGTACTGTCAGAGAAGGGCATACTTTACAGAGGGGGCTGGGCCCACGCTACCAGGAAGCAGAAGCTCTGGGCAAGGCTTTTTAGCGTTCTTGGTAGCAGAAACCCAAGCTGAGCAGAGAATAGCATAGTATTTAACGGGATGGTGTTTTGTGATCTGGTGCCAGGATTCACCCGCAGACGCTCCTGTTGCATCTGGTCAATGGTAGAACAAGGGGAACAGAAGAACAGATCCACTAATCCACTAATACGCTCTAACTGGTTAAAGCAGAAACCGTAGTTGCGGAGTGTCCTGTAAGCTGCGGAGTAATGAGGAATTAAACAGGGTATAGGTACAGAGGTACTTAGAAATGTTGTTAATACATTTATGCTGTCTCAAATAACATTTTAAAGTTAAATGCATCAATATTGTGCCTTTTGAGAGTTAAAATTGAGAAGGTTCAACCTTTGTTCAGTTTTGATTTTGTAAAAAGTCTTTGCATTGACTTGTACCTGGACTTTAAAGTGTACTCAAACCTCTTTTTAGTTGTGATATAGTGCCTTAGTCTATATACATTACATTCACTCTGGTGTTTTAGAATGCCAAATAATTAGACTAATTAATAATAATAACACTTTTATATTATGATTATTATTATCCCTAATACATTCATATATATTTTAAAACAAATTCACTGTAAAAGAAATGTAAATGAATTTATTATTTTAGTATAATATTTTAATTTACAGTAGCGAAATTACAATAGAGGGGTTTCACGACGCGTCATCAATCCGGAAGTCGGCCATTTTGGAGGCACAGAACGTAAATAATGCCACTGAACTGAATGGACTCGCAAATTTGGCTGATTATTGCTGCTAAAAAATGGTCGAGTTTTGGTCTGTACCAATCAGTCACATCGGGAAAAAAACATGTTGAGTGCTATAGACTGTCAAAAGTTAAAGAGAAGAGTGCAAAAACTGATGAAAGAAGGCATTTGTGGTTGAGAGAGGTACAGCATCAGCTACATGTGTAAATGAAGCGTTGACTATGGCTAAAATGTTGACGTATTAACTATGGCTACATTCACACTGTCAGACCAAATCCGATGATCTTTGTATCAAATTAGAATCTGATCTAAAATGATGTCCACACTGTGTATCGCAACTGTTCAGATCCGACGTGTGTGTGTCCATGCATGTTATTTGGTAATATGGCAATGACTTTGCGTTGATGGAGGGGGTTGCATTTTCAATATAATGTTAGATGTTGTCTTATTTAAATGTTACAACATGGAAATGTGTAGCCGGCGCGCTGGACTACTGAAGGCTGGTATGTAGCCTGCTTTTTCCCCACGCTCGTCTGCGCCGGTTTCAGAAATAATACTTTTCTGCTCGTC